TCTTGTTTCTTCATCTGTGCCAAGGATATTTTTTGCTGGTTAATTCTAACTAGGACTCAATCCAAGTCCAATTTTAGAAAAAGTAACTTGTTTATTATTAAGTACAATGTCTTTTTATTTCCTTTTGTAAAAAGCAAAGCTAGTTAGTTGATCCCCTATAGTTGAGTCAACATAGTGTAATGTTTATGAGAAGCTTTCTCCTATGGAATTACTGCTGAAGCATCAGGCCTTTGCATGCTCAGTAGCTCTCTGTCATTTTGCTTTCTAACCAGTATGATGCCTCCACTGGCCTTGGGTCTTTGCCTCTGATGTTTGTCTGTGAATTGTGCAATGGCCTTTGACCAATAGCTATGAAGTGAGATGTGGTTTGACTTGAAAACTTATTTACTGTAATGACTGAAACACTGTGGTTTCATAAAATGCCCTATTTGGGACTTACTCTGTGAGAGGGTTTTTGAGGCTGACTTTTAATGCAGTCATTTTGATGTGTCAACAACCAAATACCTGTGGATGAGGCTTAACATGGATGAAACTTGGACCAAATTCTTTCCTCAGTGAATGCAATTACAGTGAGAATCTAGTCTTGTATGAAACTATGCCACTTGTTTACTCTCCCAAATGAATCACTGAGTGACAGACTGACTTAGCGAATTACCTGGTCTTCACATTTTATTTTCTTCTTTTGGATTTTAGAGTGTGTCCAAGTTCACTGACCATGAACTGAAGGCCTATGCCAAAGCAGGGTCAGTAGCTGATGAAGTCATTTCATCCATTCGAACAGTGGCTGCTTTTGGTGGTGAAAAAAGGGAGGTTGAAAGGTTGGTTAATTGAAATGTCTACCACTTTGTTGAATGTTGTTGATCTGCATGTTACCCAGAAGCTTCTCCACTTTGTACAAAGTCACCTTGGTCTATGGTTCCCTGAGGGAGATTTTAAGAGGTAGCTAAGCAGAGTAATTAGACTGATCAAGGCACTACAAGGACTCCTAAGCCTTTAGCTATGTGTTTTTGAAGATGTACTTGATAACTTTTAGAGAGCCATCTTAGATTAGATATTTATTTCAAACC